AAGGAAGGAGTCCGACGACGTGAGGCCACGATCTATGAGATGCGACCCCCCCCCCCCTCTTCCTATATTAACATTGTTATTCATTCTGCATTTTTTAGGTTTTATAAATTTGGTGTTTTTTTGGGGAAACAGTGTGTACAAGTTATTGACTACATCCAATTCTCATCCTCTGGTATTCCGTTAGAGCACCATCCCTATCACTCAAAAACCCTTGTTATTAATCGGTGAAAGGAAAAAGACCAAAGGCATGAAAAAACCCTTAGGAATGTGAATTAAATTAAGTTGGATGTGTGAGTGTCGCGTGTGGTAAGGATGATATCGTATATACGGAGATTGAGCGCTCGTCAGCGGTATGTTTCTTGGGAAACAGTTCCATTTGATGATTCGGAAACCAAGTTCCGTTGGATTCTCCTGTAAAGGAGACGTCCAGATTGTTTTAATGTTGATTCGGAAACCGAAGGTTCCGTCGGAGTCTCCCGTGCAGGGAAACGTCCGAACGTTCAGAACGTCAATTATTGTGTGATTTTTGTGTATTAACGTTTTAACGAATAACGAAAAATCGCATACTCGCGAGAATACTCCCGAACCTTCCTACGCAGGATGCACCACTCAATTGCTGCTTCTCAAGTGCCCTGCGAACTGTTAGGTTAAAACTAACGCGACACGTCCCGTCCCTCTAAACATTCCGATACTAATCGTTTCTCCGAAGAAAACGTTTCAACTATACATATCGGATCTATTCAAAACATTTCAAAAATATTCGACGAACGTTCAGACAATATATTACCGGTACATTAATCGATAAACCGAATAAAATTCTTTTACTTTATACTATTGATAGTGTGCCGCCAATGTTTTAAGTTATTACAAGTGTACCGTAATGAAAAAAAGGTTGAGAATCACTGCTCTAGCTGCATGGATTTTTGCATACTCGTCCTATCAACGCTCTTCATTCTACAATTAAATACAAACATTCACAATTTTAATATCGTAATGTCGATAAATTACAAGTTTTTGAATTTTTTTCTCTAGAACTAAACATTCGATTCTAACGAGCTTTGGATATGATTTAGACATAGGTATGGTCTAATTTTTCTGTAAATTTCAACTTCCTAATGTCAATACTTTCAGAGATATATATATTCTTCACAAAGTAATAATTCTAATTTTTCGTAAAATTTTAAATTAACGCAAAATGTTAAGGCTGATCAACGATTCCTCTATCACGAATTCTGGGAACTAATAGGACTGGTTTCAAGCTATCAACATTAACATTAAATGCATCTTAATTTTATTTATAAATCAACAATTTATGATGATCATCTAACATAACTATTTAAATGAGATATATCAATAATCAGTTCTGTTACATTTTACCAACGACTCCTGAAATTACAACGAAAAACAGATAGCTCTGCCGGAATGCAGCCTGTTCGATACCAATCTCGCCAGCGCTCTTCTCCACATTCTTAAAGTGTACATTCTTGTGTAGCGAAAGGTAGAACTTGATGTTCTCTTCAGACAAGAAAGTCTTTGCGTAGTCATTAAACACCTTCGAATGTTTTCGTTTATCTTCGTACACTTTGGTAAATTCTCCCAGGGGAATCAGTGCAGCAACATCCTCCAGGTAACCAATGATTCCTCCAGTGATCTCCGTGACACTCCTAGGCTGGATATGCGGGATGTCCAAGGATTCATTCAATTTGTTCAACAGATAATAAATGTCGAGGCCATTATCTTGCATGTAGTTCAATAATTTCTTGCAAGCTGGATCAGCTTCTACGTCTTGGACGAATAATTTCCCCTCATTGGATTGTACAAGGCTGAGCATCGCCTGGAATTGTTTGTCCTGGACATGGTAGGCTTTAGTGACTGCTATGATTTTCTCTAAAGGCAGCAGATCAAAGAAGTCTTGCAGTTCGTTGGCTAGGGCCCCGTTGCCTGTGGTGGGTAACCGAAAGGCGCATAGCGGGCTGATCACGACTAGAGTTTCTAATAGCATCACTGCGAATTTCATCTAATAACATTTTTCGAGTTAATTCCAATCTAAGAAGGAAGAACTGACATGAAGTGAATACTGAGCTCCTGGTGATTTTCAAAGTTGTTGATTTCGAATCTGACGTCGGAATTTCAAAATTCAATACGGCAGGTTGAGAATTTTTCAGTTCTAGTTTATTTCGATAAAAATTTATAGTACAAGAATTTTGTTGATTAAGAATCTGACATAAGAATTAAGAAACTCAAAGTAACGGATCTAATACAAGTTGCATTGAGTTATAGGATGTAATTCTTTACTTACCATCGTTATATTTTTTCTACTTCTTTTCTAAACTATAGACGAACACTTTTTGGGCTCTGGAATGGAACTGGTGCTCGGTTTGCGATAGACGCGGCTTATATAGTCAGAAATCGAGAGGGCAGATTGATATCTGATTAGATTAATAATTAATACAGGTCGTAAGAAATATTGATTGACGATAAACTAAATCACTCCCCCCTCGTATCAGAAATAGTTTCGTTTTTATAATTATCTTCATATAATATAATTTTAATTTTGTCGATTCACAAGACTGCAAAGCTTTATTAATTTTTTTCAGAGATTATTGAAGCTAGGAGATGTATAGGTTAATATAATATCTACACTATATAAAACAATCGTACAGTTAAATACGTAAGTAGCTCTAATTATTTCTGAGAACAAGATTTATAAATTATGCATTTACGAAACGACAATATTATAATTGTATTTTATACAGATAATTATAAAATTGAAAATATTTATAGTAGGAAGTTGAAAACATTCAGGTAGGTAAAGAGATAGAATGTCTATAGAGAAAGAGAGAGAGAACATGTACAAGAATTATTTAAATAACTTCGATAGTAGAGAGAGAGAGAGAGAGAGAGAGAGAGAGAGAGAGAGAGAGAGTTTTTGAGAAAATTCATACATCATGCAATCTTATGAAACGACGATATTGAAAGTATTCAGTTTATTTATCACTGTAATCGATCGTCAGTGGAAAAGTTTTCTATCTAATTGATCACGCCACCCTCTAATCAATTCTGAACTGTTTAAATGATCTTTGTTTAATTACGATGCTTATCCTTTTTAAGTGCTTAATTTATAAGTGGGAGGATTTGTAATATTTTCCTACGAATTATCATCTACAAACGAGGTCGTATATAATTTTCTCGTAACACCAATATATTTCCAGTAACCGTCGTGAGTAACAAACTGATTCCTCAGTACACTATTTTTTAAAGTACCAGTCTATTGTTAATAACTCGTTAATCTTTAACTTGAGTGAAAAATGTTTCAAATTAAAGTTATCAGCTACAAATAAGGTTTCATGCAATTTTTTTGTAACTTCAATAGTTCAAGTGTAATCATCAAAACTATGAGACTCTGGTTTCCCAGTAACAGAATTTCGAATGTGTATCAAATACAAAAGTTCTGGCTATAACTAGTACCGACAAATAAGGCGCCACACAATTTTCTTGTCACTCTAAAATTTTACGATTAATTGTCATCGTATACAATTTCTTGGATTTATAACATTTCCTGCTATTATTTGAAATTGGTTAAAAGATAGTGTTCGATTTGGTGAACTGCCATTGCAATCAGCAATCCCGATACCCGTTATCCTCCTATCATCGCTCGCACCGCCCAATTCACCAACATCGACGATTAACAATCATTTAATCAATAGATTGGCGATTTAAAATCGGATGACATGTAGAATGTCCGTGACCACAATTTTCCAATACGTGGAAATCGCCTGGGTGGGAGATAACTATAGAATGGAGTTGGCTAATTCACGCCTAATGATTATGAGAATTACATAACATTTTTGTTTGAATAATTCTAGTAGTTAGTCGTTGCTTGACGAGTTAATTAATTGTCCAGCTTTGGAATTATATTTTACAGTACATACAATTTTATTTTTTTTATTTTCTCATCATCGAAGCATCGTTTAGCTGATTCCCTGAATCAAAAGATTCTTAAACGGCTTACCCGAGGGACGAACGCATTGCCTAGAAACTGCTAAGAACTCGAGAAGTCAAGTATAGAAATAAATACGTAATATCGTGAAGTGACTAGTGCCAGCATAAAGGCCGCTGACACACGAACTGCTGATTAGGCTGAACTAAGCAGCAACTGGTATGTATATTAAAGAATATAACTGGTATTAAATATTAAAGAATATAAATTGTTATAGAAATCTCGTGTCAATCCTTTCATACCCAATACCTATTCCCTTAAGATAGATAGTTAGGTCAAGGTGTGCTTAAGCACTTTAAATAAAGGCAAGAACCCGTAATTCAGGACGTAACAGCCTCTTGTCTAATGCTAATCCCTGTTTTGTCTCTCTTGAACTCCATTCCCAAGCAACGTTATGGCTCACCGATCCTCTTCAGCTCGAAGGCTTTCATCAAGTGGGATTCAAGCAGTTTTATCTCGTTCAGATCGTTGCACATGACGAGAAGATCGTCGACGTAAACAAAAATGACCAACAACTTTTGGTTCATTCCCTTTTTGTATATGCATGGGTCTGCATCGATCGGTGATGCTCCAAAAGAGCGCAGTTCTCTGTCCAGACGTTTATGCCATGCACGACCTGCTTGTTTAAGCCCGTATTGGGCCTTTTTCATACGGCATACCATGTCGTCGTGAGCCAGTGCATCCAGCATTTCTTTGGCCGATAGGAGAACGCTTGCGTCATGGTTTTCGGTGCCGATCATGAATTCGAGGACGTTCTTCAACTGGTCAGGTGGCTCCATGAATACAGTTTCCTCTAGCTCCCCGTTGAGATAGGCGGTTGTTACGTCGGACTGTTTAATGTGCATTCTCTTGAGCGCGGCAGTAGCGACTTCTACCCTTATGGATTCCAGTCGACTGACTAGCGCGAAGGTCTCATGGAAGTCTTTTCCGTATTGCTGTGCGTATCCCTTTGCTACGATCCT